AATTAACGAGAAACGAAAAACATAAACGTTCAGAAAAAAAAAAAAAAAGTATGAAAACAAAACAGAAAAAATTCTATTAATGGTGGTGAATCCAGTGAAAGAAATTATCGTAATTAAACATGTTGATAGATAACACCTGATCAGCATGCATCATTTGTGATAGATTATTAAAATGTAAATATAATTTATGATTTGATAGAATCGATAGTCTACCAAATGGAACATCATTGTGTTTCAAAAAATCCTTTACATGTTTATATGACCATGCTGAAGAAGCGTCCCGAATCAAAGTAAAGTTTCTTTGAATTTGTTTGATTTTTAAATTTCTTTTTCTATTACGAACAGAAATAGATTCACGTGAACGAGTTGAAACATTAGCAGAAACATTTTGATATAGATTCATGTTATTGATATAATTAAAGATAATGTTAGCAAACTGATGACGATAGATATAATCAATATGAAGACGATCAGAACCTAACCATTCGGATGATAAATGTAAATCCAAAACATAAAATTTATGTTTCGTTGAAAGTGAAAGTAATAAGTGGTTGTAATGATCGATGTTGTCGTTTAACAATGAAATATTCGGATATCGAGTAGAGGGTTTTAAACAAGGAAGGCAAGTGGTTATTATGATGTTTCCTTGTTTTAGATGACAATAATGAGAAAAAAGAAATAGCAGAAATTGATCAATTTGTTGAATGACATCTGTTGCCGGTAAATGTCGAACAGAATTTGTTCCGACAAGAAATAAAATATTAGATGTTGTAGAAATTAAAGAAGCAAATGTGTCTGTTCGTATTAAAGAAAACAAACTTAAGTTGTGATCATATTTGTTAGACCATTGTAAACCCGAAATAGAATATGTTTTAATACAATAATGAGGTGTAATAATGGTGGGTGCTATACATTTGCCGTGACTATCTGCTATTATTAAAAATGATGGAGTGATAGTTGATGAAAATGTCATAGTGATAATATAACAATATAATGAATTGAACTACGTAATGGATGTTGAATGATGAGTAGGATGGTATGTATAGTTGAGAAATTGAAAAATGAAAGAAAAGAAGCATAAATGAATGTAAACACGAAAAAGTTTAAAATAAGCTAGGAGATGATATATAAAGGTTTGATCTCCATGAAAATTTAAGTACTATCGAATTCTTACGATACCATGATCATCCGATATTATTATACAGATTTTCAATACATTCGATTATGTCCTCCTACGGCGCCCTAGTAACAACATAATTTCCATAACAGAAAGCTAATGCTATTCAAAGGACTTTTCACTTCGGTCGTAAGAATAAACATAAGTATCTATTATATCCATAACTAGAAACTATCAGTATAATAATAAACAATAAAATCATGATAGAATAGAAATGATAGGTGTTATTCCTATAAACTAATAGATGAGGAAACTGTTATGAAAATAACATTATGTTAGAATGAAAGGTGTAAAATATCATTCAAAACTGATCGGTCGTAAATCGCTTATATGTACTTGGGATCTTATGTGCGTACACTCATCTTCGACTACATACATTGGGTGATGAATTTCAACAACGATTTTCGGAATAGGAGAAAATTTCGGATCTAATTTTCCTTTCGAAACATGAACACGAGTTAAAACTTTATCTCCTAATTTTAGTTGTGGATCAAGACGATTCTTATTATAATACGCCTGATTAGCTTGTTGTTGAAATAATATATTTTCACGCGAAGCCTGATGAAATATACGCAACGTCTTTTTTAGTTGTTCAAAATAATCATTAGGCTTGGGAAAGGTAAATTCTGTAGGTTGTATATGAATAGGTAGACGAGCAGTACGACCGTATAGTAACTCATAGGGAGAAAATTTCGTGGACTTGTGTACTCCTGTATTATAAGCAAAGACAACGGCTTGCAAGTACTCATCCCAATTGTTATGTTGAGCATTTTGTAACTTTGAAATCTGAGTTACAAAAGTAGCATTAAAACGCTCTACGATACCATTTGTTTGGGGATGGTATGGAGTACTATATATATGATTGTATCCTATGAGATGTTGTAGATTCTCCATTAACTTATTTTGAAAATGTGTTCCACGATCGCTTAAGATAACTGACGGTATACCAAACTTGCAAAAACAATCATCGAATAAGGCGCGCGCTGCAGTTTCTGCTGTGCAGTTTGGAAGTGCTAATGCTGTTATATGTCTCGTAAAATAATCTGTAATAATAAGCACATATTGATTTTCACTAGGAGTCCTAGGTAATGGTCCACAAAAATCAATGCCTATTAAAGCGAATGGTCCTTCAGGTGGTGGAATAGAACGTAAGTGACCATATCTTTTAGCACGATCTATATTAAATTGCGTGCATAAACTACAAGACTTTACGTAGCGTTGTATAGTGATTTTCATACCGGGCCACCAAAAATGAGGACGAATTTTATAGTACATACGATCTGTAGAAAAGTGAGCGCCTGTCAATGGATCATCGTGACATGCTTTCAATAGAGAATTTATCATTGATGATGGTAAATATAACGCTTTAATGATTCGATTAGAAATATTCTGAGAACTGATTAATTTGTACAGTTTATTATTTTCTAAGATAAATGAACTTTGACTCGATATAGTAGATAAATTTTTTATTATGTTCTGTATCTTAGGATCTAGAGCTTGTTCCACTTGTAACTTAGTTATATCGAAAAAATTTTGTGAAAGTGTAGATGTTAGTGTGGTTTTTCTTTTGTGTCTAGAATCTGTTGTATCTATATAATCATGATGATTATTCACGTTATTTCCATCAGAAATATGTTGTTCTGTATAATAAACTCGATTTTTACGTGGTCTTAGAGTCATGGCTGCTAAAACATTCGGATTAGTAGAAGAAACTGTTGAATCTGATGTTAAGTTCTTAGTATCATTATCAGATGTAGCTGATGATAAGATCGAACGAGATTTACTAGCTAAGCCATATTCAATATCGAATATATCATCAAATTGTTCTTTTGAGTAACGTGAAAGATAATCAGGGAGACAATTGTACTGACCGCGAATATGAACGACTTTATCGATATTATATTCTTGGATCAAGTGCGTTATTCGATTCACCCTATTATTCTTAATAGACTTTTGCATTATATAACATAAGGGACAATGATCAGTCATAATGATAATATTTCTCCCTAATACAAAAGAACGCATACGATCCAAACACTTATAGATAGCCAACGCTTCTTTCTCGATCGTACTATATTTTCTTTGACATGGTGTAATAACTTGAGAATGATAGTATAGATTACGGAGTTGCCCATTGACTTCTTGCTGTAAAACACCACCTATTCCGATATCACTAGCGTCTGTAGTTAATACTACAGGTAAATCATCTATAGGAAAATGTAAAAATAAAGGTTCGGTGGTAAGCATCTCTTTAAGTTGGTGAAAGGCTTTTGATTGAGCAGTTTGCCACTTAAATTTTCGTCGGTTAGGCCTCGTAAGATTGGTAACAGTATGTATGGGTGCTGCTACTTCGGCAAATTTTGGTAGAAATTTTCTATACCATCCTAAAGACCCTAGAAAACGATTCGCTTGAGCTAAAGTACGCGGTTCTTGTATTTGCAAAATAGCTTCTATCTTATCTTTCACTGGTTTGATAGAATTTTTATTGATAGTATGACCTAAGTAATTAATTTGATGAACGACTAATTCACATTTAGGTGGATTTAATATTAGATTTTTCTGTTGCAAAGCTGAAAAGACGGATTGAAGATGATCCAAATGATCAGAAAAAGATTTGGAAAAGACAACAATATCATCTAAGTAAACGAGAGAAAACTGACGACACGATTTCAAAGTCTCTGTCATAACTTTTTGAAAAGTAGGAGGAGAATTTCGTAATCCCATCGGTAGAACGTTAAACTGATATAAGCCGAATGGGGTTATGAAAGCTGTTTTCTCTTTATCATTTTCATTAATCGGTATTTGATAAAAACCGGATTTCAGATCGAGTTTGGAGAAATAACTAAATCCTTTTCCTAATTTAAAGATTGTATCTTCCATATTGGGAAGAGGAGAAGAATCTTTGATAGTTATAGCATTTAATAGTCTATAATCTACTACAAATCGAAATGAATTATCTTTTTTCTTAACAAGTATCGCTGGTGCTGCATATGGCGAATTCGATTCTGAAATAAGACCAGCGTTCAAAAACTCTTGAATAAATTCGTACATCACTTCCTCGCGATCCGGTTGAGGATATGCTCTAGTAGCAGGAGGTGAATGAGGAATGGTATTAATAACATGCGGTATAGGAGTACGAGCTATAGTATGTCTGGTTGTATCAAAAATATTAGAGACGCGCTCTAGTAACGAAAGAAGATCTTGTTTGTGTTGATCATTCTGAATATTTTCAACAAGAGAGTGTAGATGTTGTGTTACTATAGGATTACGTAATTCCTTCGAGGGTAACACAGTTTCTGTTACAAAAGAACTGGTTCGATTAGTACACGTACTATTATTGTTGCTTAATTTCGATGAACGATTACTAGAATCGCTATTTATTGTCAAGTCATTAGATACTGGAGTCATACCAGTACGTCTGGTAGCTCCAAAAAAATGATGGTGCGATGAATAAAAGGTACGAGGATGTTGAAACATAGAACAACACAACAAATACCCTAGACATGTACCTTTTCGTATGACTTTTGGAAATCTCTTGGTATTATATAATATAAGATCACTACGATAATTTTGAAAGTTAAGATGTTTGTTCTTATTGTCAACAAGTACGTAAGTTTTAAATGAAGAAGCTGGAATAAATGGTAAAGAAATAGATGAAATAGGAATGGCAACTGGAATTTTTCGTGTGGAATTAGAAGAAAGTAATACCGTGGTAGAAGAAATAACCGGTATTCTGATAGATTTTGTTACATTAACGATCGGAACTACAATATGATGATTATGTAACTGAATAGTAACCATCTGTTTCTGAACATTTATATTCATATTATATTTATTAATGTAATCCATGCCTATTATCATATCTGTACATAAATGTTGAGCTATGTAAGCTTTTATCGGAGTAAAAAAATTATTAAATTCAACCGATAAATCTACTGATCCAAGAACATTAAATGATGCAATACCGTCAGCTAACAAAAAAAGAAGATGATTGCTTTAGTATAGAATTCATTGGTACTAAATGATGTAGAATTTGATTATTGATGAAGGTTTTGGTGGCTCCGGTGTCTATTAAGATTTTAATTTTATGTTTATTTACCAAAGCGTATATAAAAATTAAAGGAGGCTTTGATGGATTTAAAAGCATATTCCCGGAGTCAACACCATCGTACGATGACTCCTTTACTGAAAATTTGGGCATGACGAAGCGTCATGTCCCATAGAATTACAGAGATGACAAACTACTGTTGAAAGAGAGTCAAGATTATCATCATGATTAGGTGGTAAGGTTGATGTAAAAACTGCATTAACTGAGCGAGAAGTCGCTTTATTATCAGGTTGTGCAAAACTTTTATGTGGTTGTATATTTTTCTGCTTACGACTACCTGTATTATCATTGTACTTATTTGTTGATAAAGAATGACGTGGTGACTGATAATAATAATTCGAGTTAGAAGCCTGTGTTCGATTCTGTTTAGATACATAATTGGGATCAGATGTATAGTTAGATGATCCTTGATAAGCACGAAAACTAGTTCGTGGTATTGAACGATAATTACTGTTAGTACTGTTGGAAAACTGTACGGAAGTGGCACTCGAAGTATTGTCACTCGTAGAAAAAGTTTTTGGTTTAGAAGCAGAACTAATAGTTGTATTTGTACTGATGTTAGATAACTGTAATAGTTCTTCTATTTCTTTTGCATGCTCAAGAAATTCAGCAGGTGTTTTTGGCTTTTTTTTGCGTATCTCTAGTTGCATGCTAGGCTTTACTTTGTTTAATAAATTTTTCAATTTAGTCGACTCGCTCATGTTAGGATCAGCCTTCTTACATAAGTTTAGAACTTCATTAAAAAAATTACGGACAGATTGTTTCTCCCCTTGAGTATATGACTCAAGGGTTTTAAACGCTAGCTCTTCCGAAAAAGACGAAGTAAAAGCTTTTTTAATTTCTTGAACAAATTTGTCCCAACTAGTTAATACTGATTGGTTATTACGAAACCATTGACAAGCATCTCCTCTTAGAGAATAAGAAATGAGATCGAGCCGATTCGTATCAGGAACATGTGCAATGTGCATCAAATGATCAATATCCTCTAACCATTTTGTCACGTCGTCCTTATTACCACGAAAAATCTTTGGATTTCGTATAAAATCTGCTACGATAGCTTTGCGTAAATCTGTTATCACTGGATCTGATGGTAAACGATTAATTGTTGAAGTATTTCCAGATAAGTTAGAGTCTGACACATCACCACTCGTTGTGGTGGTATCATCAATAGCAAGCTTACTATAAGAAGAAACGGATGGCTGTGACAACTGAGTAGCATCAGTTATATTCGCAACATTTAATTTAGAATCTGTTGTTATGTTACTGATGCACATAGAATCTTTCGCAAATTCAACTTTATGATTAGTTTGACTAGGTTTAGAAGTACTGACTGTTACTGGAGTTGAATCGAAATGTGTTAGTAGAAATTCATAAAAATCATCAAAAGATTTTATGGCGTGACGATTTTTGATATATTTGCGTTTCGCATCGCCTTGTACTAAAAGAGGTATAGCTTGAAAACGAAGTTTACGTGAGATCTTGAAGCGATGAAATAAGGCGTCAGTCTCATCTAACCATTGATTGATGGGTTCTGCTCCCGAAAAAGGAACGAAGTTCTCACAAATAAATGTATCAAATAGATTATCATCTTCTTGTTCATCACTTGTATGATCTTTCTGATGAGATTGATTATGAATTAAATTCGGTATTACTGAAGTATCTTGTCGATTATCACACAAAACATGATCATCTTCGAAAGCAGTATTGCTTTCGGTAGCTATAACAGTATTCATTACTGAGCTGTCCTCATTACTACAGGATTGAGTTTTAGTAGATGGTAATAATTTATCTGGTCTGTTCGGTGTAGGAATAATATCCATGCGCCGTGTCATTTTTGAAAAAGAACTAGGTTTCGATGCTGGATTAAATGTTGATGTTAATATTAAATTTTCTGAATTTGTTGGTAAATTAAGTGAACCTAATGACTCAGACTTCTGCATCTTTAGAATGTTGGTTAGATATGTATTTCTGACAATATATAAATGAATACGAAAAAGAAAAGAATCAAATAGAAAAAATAATATAGATAGGGGTGAACAGAACAAGCAAATATATCTATATATGATGTAACGATATAGAAACGACAAGAGAAAAAAAAATCGGATGATGGTATAATTTCGAAAAAAAAAAAAAAAAAAAATAATGGTCGTTTTTTAATAATAAATTTTAACTTCTCCACCAATTG